TCATTCATGTATGCATGAATGAACGAGGAACACAGCACACATAAAACAAAGTATTACTCACAGTAGGCCCAGCCCAGGCTGTGGAACCAGCAATGCTGGGAATGACACCCATTTGGCTCGGTTCGGCTGGGGGACCAGATTTGCCCCTCTGATATTATGTTGGAACTAGTCTACCAGGCTAGACAGTGCCAAATTTGCTTTAGTATATTGTTTCTATATTTTTGTCACTCTCCACATAGCCGGGGTGGGGTGGACCTGCCGGCAAACTGGATGACCCATTGCCAAGCCCCCTTTGGGTTCTCATTCGGTCTACACTTAATACATATCTCTAAGAAAGAATGAATATTATAGCTAGCCAATTCACCAAAATGAATGAAGCCCAACAATGGGACCATGGCAAGGAAAGGCACGTCCGTATATAATGGCAATGGAAACCGACCTCTGAAAGATGTGGGGGTTTGAATCACTTGGTCTTAGCCGAGGCAGCTCCGACCACCCACCGACAGTGAAAGTCACCCTAAGCCTTTGCTCCGTTACAAGCATTAATCAATCCCTGTCATCAAAACATGATTGACACTGCTCTAAGATGGGACCTCTGTTAGGGTCAGAGGGCCCTAGGCAATTGGGACAGTGTCCTTGGAGACCCCCACCGTATATGGGCCATGCTGGCCAAGACCGCAACAGCTTTGATGCTTGAAGGTGGCTGTTTTCCTAACCCTACTTGGTTGGAGTCATAAGGAATAAGGACACATAATAGTGGGTGTGTAGTATGCTGTTGGAGCCAACATCATTTGGGATTTGGGACACTTCCAAATGCAATATGGCCCCATTAGGGGATCATATGAGGTTAGTGTAGGCAACATTAATGCTTTCTTTTACACGTGTCTACTTTAGACATAGGCAACGCACACAGGGGAAGTTATTAGGTGTGTGGTTCATATTGGTCCAACCCAACCCCCTTTTAATGTTTATGGTTCATTTGGAATTCGAAGATGAATAGACATCCACAAACAGTTCTTCTACTTTACTAGCAGTAGCAGTGTATGGATGGATGGATAGATTCAAATGTGGGAAAGGGTTACTTATTGGATGGAGAAGTGCTAAGATTTGCATTTGCTGAAAATAGACTTAGTTGGAGTGATGGTACATGGGACCACTAAAGGTTGCAGTTGGCAACCCTGCTACTGAGTTGACCACTCTTTCAATCTACCTCAAATCCACAACCAAATTCCTTAACCCCAAAAAATATAAAAGAGAAAGAAGAGGAAGAAGAAAAGGCACTGTGGTCCCATAAACATGGCAAGCACAAGTTGCAATGGCAGATGTGGAGTGGATGAAACTCATCAGAGTTGGCAAGACTGTAGTTTGAACAGTACATGCCAATCTTTGTTTCTTGTCATTTTCAATAGGGAAATAGGGTTTAGGGTTTAGGGATGAGCTTTAAGAACCCAAGTTTTTATGGTTGAAATTCATGATTCAATGCTTCCATCACGTGACTAGCTTTTTAGGGTTTAGGGGGTTTTAGGGTCCTTAAGGTGCTGGCATTATCCAATAATTTTCCAAATTCAAATGTTACAGAGCTGATGTGTCCCATCTTATACCAAACCCCTGGAATTTAGCAATATCCTTTTACCTGGGACAATAAACAAACAAATCAAATCCCTCTGCTGAAACGCTTTAATGAAAATTATGTCTATATTATCAGGCGATTTAACAATTTATTCACTGTTCTAGCTTAGCAAAAAAAAAAAACTGTTAAACCAGTATTTTCCCAATTTTGTATTATTTTTTAGATATAGTTTGATTAAACTGGATATGGGCCTTACTTGATTTCATGCAACAAGTTCAAATATAAATTAAAACAGCAGTAATGCATTCTAAAATTCCCAAAATAACATCAAATGTAAAGCTTGAAATAAAAATATGTTAAAAATTCACTGTAATAAACAAGAAGGGGATAGATTACTGATCATTATTTGGCAGTCTTTTATTATTGTAAACCCATTATTGATCTCTGGCCAATGATGTTCCAGTTTGCAAGAGGAACCAACCATGGCTAGTACTTGCTAGGTGGTTAGGGAAGATAGCTGAAGCCCCATCCATTCTGGAATCTGGAGCATGATCCCAGAAAGACTGAGATCACTGCCTAGGTGGTGCTATGTTAGCCAGTTCATGACCTTTGGCAGTTTATGTAGGTAACATCTATTGGTTCTAAAACAAAAATAAGACAAATTCCTTGGTCCACACAATATAATGGCCCTTGCCTACAAACTGTTTATTATTAATTGCATTAGCTGTTGAAGGCCTAATTGCCTAAAGCATAGGCATAACGGCCAAGAATAAGAATAGTCGTTAGGCCATAGTCTATAGAGGGCACTGAATCCATGTTTTTCCAGTAAGGACTATGAAAAACAGGAGCAGAGTCCTCTCCTAATCTCACCTTTCTTTAGAGTATGGATTTCTTTCTTTCTAAAACAAGGGTTTTCTACACTTGAGGAGTCATTTTTGGTGAATTTGTTATTCTCTCACATTGGTGAAGTGATATGGGAACATCCTTTCCTTGGGGCACGGTTATCATAAGACATGTTTTTGACCATTATTAATACAAACTACAAAGAGAAAGAGTGGCTAAATCAGTCCCCTTTTCATCCAATTATGTAAATTATAGTAATAAATAAAATAAAACGAAACAGCATAGTCAATTAGTCATTTCTTGGAAAATATAAATTGCTAAAAGCTAAAGCATATATAAAACAATTCATCTTAATCTCAATGTTTTCTCTTAATCAACATTTTTATAAAGTATAGATAGGGAGATAAAAAAAATCTAATAGTAAAGGGAGAGAATGAAAATTTGAAAACTCAGGTAAATTGATACAAATTCACAGAACATTAGGGGCCCAGTGCATTAAGGTCCAGAAAAGAATGTAAGTAGCTTTTCCCTTTTCCTGCAATTTGGGCTTCCAATCACGTCTAATGTTTTTATAACCATAAATGGTAAGAAAGGTCTTAAATCCTACAACTATTACAAGGCAAAGACAAAGATTATATCAGTTTGGCTTAGACTCTGCAATTATTAAACGGGTACTTGTCATTATTTTGTGGTAAAGAAAGCATTAATGCCCCAGAGACTCTCTCTCTCTCTCTTGGTGGAAAAGATGAAGGATTAATTAATCTAAAAGGCCAAGCGACGTTGTCTACATCGTTGCTCAGTGAAAGAGAGAAATATCTCAGAAAACTTTCTCTTTCCTCCATAAATGATCTTATGATCCAACAGTGGTATATAGTGGTGGCTTAAGGCTGCGTTTGGGGGGCTTTCTAATAAGCTTGTTTGAATAAGTGCTTAGCATTTGGTTGTGCTTTGCCTTTTTCTTTAAAATGTGCTTCTCATAAAGGTAAAAGCCGGAAGCCATGTATTTTTTGGCTCTTCCATATGGGCTTTTTTATATCTGAAAAGCCCATTTAGCACAGCTTCACCAAGCAAAATTTTTGGGTGCTTTTGGCTTCTGGAATGCAAAAAAAAAAAAAAAAAAAAACAGAAGCACTTTTAGGAGAAGCACCCCAAACGCAGCCAAAATCCTCCAGCTTGACAAGTAAACCTTGGCAAATGGTTAGATACTTAAATCTTAAATGGAACCCGAAAGTCATTAGAGACCGACATTTTTATTCAATTTTTTTTTTCAAGGAAAATTCTTAAAATTAAAAGATGTTGAAACTGAGGGTGACTTAGAGAGCAACATTTTTTATTCATGTTCATCCGTTCTAGCCTTCAGAGAATGTGCATCTCCTCTTGCTCTAAATTGGCAGCAACTCAAGCCAAATTATTTGATAGAGAAACCTAAAACGGATTTCGGAGGAATAGGTGATTGGTTGTCCGAATGTCGGGCCACCATGTAAGTTGGACAAACAATAATTGATGCCCAATTGACAGTCATACTCAATTGATCAGTGGGCAGTGATTGACCATTAAATAGATGCCAACCACTGAATTGGATGGTTTGGATCCTTTATCCTTAATATAACTCACATCTTAGATGGTGGTTTGGATTGTCTACAAGTCATAAAGCTTGCCGTGCCTCGATTCGAATCAAGCCTATGAAGAAAGAACACAAGAGTTAACAATAGTCAATGACAGATGCCTTACCCAGCTCATACAGGCCCACATCGGAACATGCACCCAGAGTCATAAGCTTCCTAATTGATGAAACCGCACAAGCAGCCAAGATACCAGAGGCAGCCTAATAGGTGCAAAACCTAAACCACCTATGTTGCTATACGGGGAATCGGCGATTGGCAGACTGAGTTTGGCTGCATTTGGCATTCCTTATTTTAAGGATTTATCAAAACTTAGTGTTCACAAGGAATGTCAAATGTAGCCTGAATCGACTGCATAATGATTATGGTTGCAACTTGCAAAATAATATGGTTGTTGTAATTCTATTTCAATGATATATCAGCAGCAATTATACTTGCATTTCATTTAGTAGTTCATCAAATTGAACGTTTTGCACTGTTTTATACTTCTTAGTAGGTTCTTCACACTGACTTCACTGCCACATCCCACAGTCTATTGAAAACATCTCCCATGAATAATAAATACAAAACGAGCTAGCTGATGTGTAACAAAATACAATAAACTACGGTTTTAAAAAACAATCTGGAAATAAAACCAGGTCAATGGTTTGACCATCTAATTCAAATAGATAGACCATTCTCACAAAATATTAAAAAAATAAAAAAACAACCAAAATCATTGAACCCGGATCAATGGGTCATTGACTAATTCAATAATTTTTTGTCAGTTCTCGGGCCGAACGATCCAACCACCTAGATCAACAGCGGTTCAAAAACCATGCAATAAACAATATTACATCGCAGTTCGAACAATGTTTTTTTTCTTAATTTCCAAACTACAAATGCAGCGTACGCACAACTGATCCATACCATTGTCTAAAAGAGAAGCAATGAAGAGTTGAAGACGAAGTAATAATGTACAAGAATTAAGATCATCTCATTCTCATATTACAATGAAATTACATGGATTTTGAAAACATTTTTGCATCAAGACACCTCAATCCCCAAAAGGTGCCCCCAGACACCAGTTATAAAAAGGTTCCAGGATCCCTCTAGAAACGAGAATGTAGAAAAACAAAGAAAAATATAAAGGCACGCGTAGACACAAAAAGTCAGAAAACTAGAACCCGCAAGCCATTTGACACCCAAAGAAACATTAACTGCCAGCAGGCGACAAAAAGGAAAAAGAAAACAGAGATAATTAATCAAATGCATCATCATCGTCATCAGGAAGAGGCTGTGCTGCGGCTGCTATCAAGTCAGCTTCATGCCTGAAACATTAACGTTATAACTTATAAAGAAACCACCACCAGGTCAACTAGTTCTTGATAGTTCGTGAAATTTGCTTGGAGAGAGAGAGAGAGAGAGTAAACAAAATGGAGGTTAGTAAATTAGTATTAAACCTCCATTCTGCTAGTATCAAACCTTACATATAATTCTATTTAATTTAAAAATAAAAGGCGTAAATACAATCACTTACCGTTCTTGTGTGGCCATGTCAATTTGTACTTCTGGGGGAACAAGAGCAGGAGACTCAACAAAATGGAGGTTAGGATCCCTGCACAATGGATTCAAACATTAAATACATGTCATAATCTCATCCATATAATTAGAAGATTAAACCACAGCAAACCAGAAAAGTACAATTACCCAGCAAGTTTCCTGGCAAGGTACAGGAAAGGTTTCTCAAAGTTGTAGTTACTTTTTGCAGAGATCTCATAGTATTGAAGATTCTTCTTCCTGTGGAATGTGACCTGCTTTGCTTTCACCTGCCTGTTCTTGACATCAACCTTGTTTCCACACAAAATAATTGGAATATTCTCGCACACCCTACAGACTCCAATAAAGAAGCCACTCAAGAATCAATTAATAAAGCATAATCAAGCATACTGAACCAAATAACTAACAAATAAAAAAGAATAACACGTTCTTCTGGATGCACCTGCAAAGATCCCTGTGCCATGTTGGAACATTCTTGTATGTCAATCGTGCTGTGACATCAAACATAATGATTGCACATTGCCCATGGATGCTACACAGACAAACTTTTAATTACAAAATGATGGATGCCAAACATGGAGATGAACAAGAAGCAGGAAGAAAAGGCAAATCATAACTAATACTTGGTTGATTACATGCAACAAAAGATATTCAAGTAACCCAATAAGAACCATAAAATAGTCTATTGCTCAAGGAGAAAAAAAAAAAAAACATTCATAGGTCACTGAATAAGGTTCTATACACTTTTTTATCATTAACATAGACTTCATTAATTAAAACAGAAAAATGAAATGCACAACTATTCTCCAAGAAAACAAAAGGCAGAGACCACACTATTCAGTTACTTTACAAGGTTACAGATTAAAGATTCTATACATTATTACGGAAAAAGAACACCAATATCTGTTCAGTCCAGTTTAGCTCAGAAAAGAGGTCATAACATTCATCCGTGAAAACTACATTCAATTACCTTGATAGATATTTTAAGATCCTAATTCATTTTCTGCCTGACCCTGAGCAGGCTTATGAGTCAACTAAGGCTAATAAAGCCCTCAATTATCTTGACATATGAAACTTATAATAGGAAATACAGCTTCTCAAAGAAGTTGCTTGAATCTCAATTTTAGAAATCAATAAATGAGTGCTACCTGTATCTCAAAATGGATTTGAAATGAAGTCATCAACACATGTAAATTCTATGTTCTCATATGAAATACAATGTACTATAGTACCTACCTAGGTCATAAATTGATTTATACCTTCCATCCAATTGCAGAAATATACATATATGTATACATAAATACATAGACAATGGCACTTCTACAAGGGTACAACTCAGATTGGCCCAAGTTAGTATTTTACATTGCTTCGAGCCTGGCCCATTTAAATTTTCACAAAAGCCCAACCCCAGCCCGCCCAAGTTCAAGTTGCAACCCTATTCTTTTAATAGTCTCTGTGAAGTACAGAGAAAAGAAGGAAGGGCAAATGTACTTCAATTACAACAAATTCCACATCCTTGAGCAATATCTTTAGAAGACAACTTTTCTGTCTATATCTTTTTATAAACACATTATGAGCTTTAATGTTTAATGATTGATGAACCAATTTTTTTTTTATAAATAACACAAATGACCCACTAGGGATGTCAATGGGTTGGGTCAAACAGTAAATCTGCCTTGACTGATTGTATTTGGCTGACCTGCCCTGCCGGGTCATAATACCTGTACATATACCTAGGTATTCTTGTAATTTGTTATGAATTTCAACTCCATAGCCTTAAAGTTTAAGATTTCTTTTCATGCATATTTTGGTTTTTCTTCTTTCACTAGTGGAAGAAATGACACCTTAGAACCTATAAACCAATTTCCAACTTAATCAAGAGTAAAATGCCGCACTGAGAATATGACATTACAAATAAACCAAAGATAGATTTCTAAAGGGAAAGGCTAGCTAATTTACATATTCTTTCTATTAGATTAGACATTTTCCTCTTAACACCTTTGTTGAACCAGAACAGCCAGATTAAATTTGAAGAACCCTGATGGGGATCAAGTTAAGGCATATCAAAAAAGAACCAAAGTTGCTCCTATGTTCATTTGGCATCATTACAAAGACGTGGGACCCACGTGGGAGCTGGGTGAGCATTGGATCAACTTAGGAAGACCCTAGAGTCTTCAATCCACCTTAAGATGCTCTTTGTGTGGTTGAGTTTGCTGCTGGACAAGACTTATTTGGTTTTCTTGCATTTCTGGACAGAAAGGGTATTTTTGTAATTTTGCATGTTTAGGGTGGTTGTGTTTGGGAACATGCCTAAGTCTAGTAACTCGCTTTGTTTGGCCTTATGTTTGTAATTGTTTGGGACAGGTTTAGTCTAATCTAGCTTCTTTTTGTAAGTGGCTTGTTTGGCAAACTAACTTGGGGGGCAAGTTTGTTCCTTTGAAAGCTTCTTTTTTTATTAAGCTTGTATGGCTCATTGGAGGAATAGTTTTTGATAATGAACAAGAAAATTTCTCTATAGAATTTGGTGTGATTGCCTAGGGTTTTCATCTTATTTCCATCTCTTCTCTTCTTTCTCTATTAGTTCTTTGTTTGTACTACACACTTAACCTAAATTGGTTGCAAGAATAGTGCTCAATCACAAAGATCCTGCATCAAACCCTCAACTAAATTCATGCAGATGGAGGTCCTATCCTTTACCATAAACTACCAACAGAAATTTGTCTATGAAAGTAAAGAATTACTAAGTACAACCACAGAGAGCAAACAAAAGGAGAACAATCCGAATGTTAATTATAAATCCAACATGGCAACATGGTTTAATATCCCATATGATCAAAGCTGAGAAAGGAATCCAGCAAATATAGGCAACAAAAGAGGAAATTATCCTCTTCACTCGTAAATACTCAACTATCTTAAAAACCTACCCACGAAACAGCAAAACAAGAGTTGCATGCAGTTAACAGAACCTCAAGAATATGCATGCATTTAACAAGCTCCATTAACACAGAATGAAGCTATAATTTCTAGCATTGAATAGAATCGGTGTCATCTAGCATCCACATTTCATGAAATCCTACAAATACTAGTAAGAGAATACGACTAGAAAATGAAAGCACAACAATTAGCGAGCTTCGAGTAGTAACTTACTAATAACCATCTCTCCGTCCACCGAACTTCTCCTGACCAGCAGTATCCCAACAATAGAACCTGATCTTTCCGCAGTTAGTGAAGAAGTCCAAGGGATGAACTTCAACACCAATAGTCGCTGCAAATCGCATTTCCAAACAACTACATCAGGAAAATAATCCGACGCAATCGAAACACAGTTTGAACGAAGAAAAGGAATAAGTAATTGAAGCAAGAACTAGCTCAAATTCTTACGCTCGTATCTCTTCTCGAACTCTCCTGCAAGATGCCGTTTAACAAATGTAGTCTTCCCTGCACCAAATAAAGACGCATTTCATCAGCTCAATATATCCCTGAGAAGAACGGCATGCGGGCAGCTGAAAAACAAATTGCTAACTAAACAAGCTAAATCTTAGTTCTGAAACTACATCAAATGCATATGCATTTTATATTTTGAATTCGATGAATCGAATCAAGATACGAAACGACAACAAATTGATATTAGGCCATAAAATCCAAGCAAAACCATGCACACACGCTCGAAGAGAGAGAGAGAGAGAGAGAGGTTTACCAGTACCACCATCGCCGACGATGACAAGCTTAAAACTAGGGTAATCGACAGTTTGCTAGTTCGGAAGCGCCTGCAGATACGAACTGTAAGAAACGAAACCTTACCTACACATAGACTAGAAATTTAGTACCATTTGTGGGATTATTTCCAGTTTTCTTCTTTCTTCTTTATCGCTCTGCAACATAGTGGAATTTGGAAAATTTGAATGCGTGAGAGAGGGGAATGGCTTAACTGCTGTATTGTAAGGCTTTGCTTTGGCTTTTCTTTGACGCGACCATTTTCACCGTCCGATCAGATCCCGCTTCAAAATGGCGGGTGAATTTGGTCCTTACAAGTGGCACACGCTTTCGACCCTTTCTTTAGATTTGGACGACGTGTCTTGTTTGTACTTTGTAAGGATTGAATACACGTTAAACCCAGGACTGGCCACCTCAAAACGAGCCTGGATCTCCTGCTCCATAACAATAACATCATAGCCATACATGAGAACAGCTCATCCTCTACATACATACATACATGGGGTAGATATTTCCAATGCACCGAAATAATATGTTGTGGGTAGATGTGAATAAAGTTCGGAGTCCCTCAAAACAGGGTTTATCCAGTTATCTTGCTTGAGAACCAGACTAGGCCCATAACTAATGATATATTTATAATTTATTTTCTAGTCAGTAAACATTCATAGCCCCATAAATCGTGGTGGAATTTGCTTAATAGAAGTATGTTTCATCAATTCAAACAAATTTAGAAAAAAATAAACATTTTGGTAACTCTTGTCTCTTTCATCAATTGCATATGAACTTGACCAACGATAATATAAGAGAAATTGATGTTGCATAGTTTCTCCAAACTTCATGTTAGAGGATAGTTCAGATTAACGAATTGATGAGATCGGTCCATCAAACTACAAGAAGGTAAAAAATGAGAGTATTCGGGCAATGAATGTGAGTTGGGTATTTCGATGCTTAAATTAGTAATGAAAGTTTTGAGAGAGAGAGAGAGAAAGAGTTGATTAAACTAATCGTGTATATCTTACAAAGGAATGGTAAGGTCCTTTTATAGGTTGAGGTTTGTGTTACATTTCCAAGATATCCAGGAACGATTGGCCTTATCAGTCCGCTATCTTCGGGGCACATTCATCTCACATTAGTGGTGATCCACATCCAAACTCTCTGAATCATGCAGGAATCGAGGTCATCCGTGCTAGGTAGGTGACGTGCTGCCACCTGACTCGGAACCAATAGTTGTGTCACTTAGGATAAGGACATCTTGCCACATAAGTTGGAGGGTCAGTACCCTAGAAGTCCACTAGCTACTTGAGCCTTTGTCTACATAGGTTGGGGAGGTTGTGCGGGCCTTCGAGGTCATTGGCTTGTCCTCCCGAGGTGATATATGTTGCCCTATTGCGGAGCAGCTGCTAGTTTCTCACAGCTTAGGATGTCAGTTAGGTAGGTCGGTCTAGGTCATCCTAGCTTCACCTAACCTATCCCCATATGACGCCAAGGTGTCATCAAACGGTTCGGACTTACCATGTGATACTTCACAATTGATGGGCCAAATCACCCCTCATGAGAAATCATGGCCCTTTTGTTGATACAAGCTAGGCTTAGGCATGGTCCGTTCAACAAATGAATTAGGATTAGGCCCTTACAAAAAGAAGCAGCCCAATATGAACATAAAGTAAGCTGCAATTAGGAGGCCATCGACTGGAGCAGCCCATTGAATGGGCTACTTTTTCTTGAAAAATAACTATTTTTGCTTTGATTTCAATCAAAAGCGAAAATAAAACAAAGCACCCACTACACACACAATAAAGCACAATTAGGCTATGTTTGGTTTGAAGGAAAAAATAGGGAAAGGAAAAGAAAGACTGGGAAACCTATATAAGGCTTGTAAAGGTTTTCCTACCTTTTTCTTCCTTTCCCTACCTTTTCCTTCAAACCAAACATAGCCTTAATTCAGCTAGGCATCAAAGAAACCCAAGGCAAAAAGAAATTTAATTCAATTAATTGGTCAGTGTGGAAACAAGTCAAGCAACCCGATAGAAAGGGTTTGATTTTCTTAGTAATAAAACAAGAGCAATTGGTTCAATCACAATGTTAAGGTCCTTGAGGACATCTCTTCGCACTTAATCTACTGAAGATTTTTTTCCTTCAATTTTAACGTAGGAAGGGAGAAAAGAAAACCCATAAAACCTTTTAGAGATAGTTTGTAACCATAAGTTTAGATTTTTCTTTTCTTTCTTTTTTTTTTTTTTGTAAAAGCAACCACAAACAATGTAACTAAGGCTGTGTTTGGTTGCAGTGAAAATTTATTTGTACAAATGCATGGGAGTGCAAATGTACAATAAGCTAAATTTTTTTTAACGTAGGAAGGGAGAAAAGAAAACCCATAAAACCTTTTAGAGATAGTTTGTAACCATAAGTTCATAGGAAGGGAAAGGCTCTATCTTTCCCATTATTCTCTATAGAACTCTCTGAGATAAAGGCACGACTGTTGACTGCGGCTACCTGCGACATGCAAGATCTCAACCTGGCAGATTGAGTTTTCTGACTAATAGTGAGAGATCTCACAACTTACAAGTTATGGTAGGTGATCGTTGATTGGAGCTTTTTCTCTTCGGAACTCCCTACATTGCTTAGAGGATTCAACTCAACTCGTATAATCTCTTGTGAGATAAAAATTGAAATCAAAGTGAAAAAACCCTCTCTGCATTTCAGGGAACGAGGGAATAAGTGGAAGTCCCAAAGGTTGGCTTCTTCAAGTTCTTTGATTTCAAAGTGGTGATAGTCCTGAAGGAGAAAAGCCCAAATGCATCATCCTTCAAGATGAGGCGTTTGTGATGGGAGAGATCGCAAGCTCCCTCTCTCCCTCACCATTTTTCTCTTTATGGGGCTTCTAGTCCCCATGCAAATTGGAATATGTCGATTTCTGACTTATATAGTAGTTAAGGGATTTTTAGACTGCATTTTACTTCAGAAATCCTAGCTCTATCGTACAGTAGGTTTATAGTTCAAATCAGATTTTTGAGGTGGAGTGCAATGTAAAAATCCCTAAATTTTAATTGGTGTGATTGATCATCGATGCCATATTCAGTTCTTGTTCATTTCAGATGCTGTTCTGTTTTTCTCTTTTTTTTATCAAATTATTATTTTGGTCACAAGGTGTATCAGATTAGGTTGGTTGGCTTTTGCAATTACACCAAGACGGTTGAACTTACAAGGAGCTGGATTAAATTTTAAAATCTCCTCTATGATGGTCAGGATTTGATGCAATATAAATTAGAAATTTGAAAATCTCCTCCATAACCTGGGTTTAATGCACATGATTTTCTTGTAACAATTGTAAAGGCCAAACATTAGCATATTTGTCCTGTAATTTTGCACTTGTGAAAACAAACGAGATGAATGCAAAGTGGGCACGGAAATCTGAACCCACTTTGCACTGACCTGAACCGGAGAAGGTATATTTGTAGTTTCAAACGGAGCTAGTGCAAATTTATTTGCATTGCAACCAAACGCAACCTAAAGGCTGGGTTTGGTTGGAGTGCAAATCTTGATTGGATGCAAAATTTGTACCTTGTTAAGTTTTGCTTTTGTTTTGTTTTTTATTAGGATTTGCATTCTTACCTGTACAATGTAAATTTTGCATCTCGAAAATTGGTATAAAATCTATACCACATTCTTCCTACCTTCATTCTCTCATATAAGGTAGGGGGGGTACATCATCTTGCATACTTATTTGAGTAAGTGTATGTATCCATGTTGTTTCCCAAGTAAATAAAACAATGACCATTTTAGCCATAAAAAACTATAATTAAAAGGGATAATTTTGTTCTATCCAAGTGTACCGCCGTGGTCAAAGTCCAAAAAAAGAACATGCCCTTAAAGTGGTGGTCACTACATTTTACTTCTCACAACCAAACAAGACAAAAGTCAAGTATGAAGGGAAATCAAATCAGATTTTACACTCTACCCTTTTGTAGTCCCATGCATTTACACACATAGTGGGCTTTGGTGAAATTGAAATGATTTTCTTCATAAATTACCCGGTGAAATCATTTGAAAATTGTGTATTGAACCATGCAAAAAGATTTAACTCCAATAATATCTCATGCATGTAAGGACTGTAGTTCCATAGGTATTAGAGTTATTGCAAAAACCAGTAAGGCCTCTATTTAATCCTCTCTACCTCCATTACAATCCCATCAAGGAACTGTAGCTTCATACTTGCTTACAAAGGCGAAGTGAATCTCCGAGAATTTAGGTGATACACGTGCAACCCCTAAGCATCAATGGATTGAATTTTATATGATATATTAGGAATAAGTTTGATGGGGAAGAGGGTTTAGGGATCCTTGCTGTTTTAACCTCGCTCTTTTTGGCTAAACAGTCTGGAGAATATGTACAGAAGAGCACAGTTTTTGGGTAAAACTAATGAAGACAAGATATTAAAAATAAAAAAAAAAGAAATTTTTAATAATAACTTGCCTAAAAGTGGTTCTTGGGGATGAAAAAGCCTATGAATAGCAAATAATAACTTGCCACAATAATACAGGTCATCCATTGCCATCACCATCCCCGAGTTCTTTGCCTCCATTGACTCTCCCTCCACCTATCACTGCTGCGCGCTCCTGTCTCCACTCATCCCATGCACACTCAAGCCAAAGCCAGCATCTTCAAACCTCGCAGACTTGTTGCCACACACCATCCCAGTCCAACTTCCTTCTCTAAGCCTACGTGCTTTTCACAAGCAAACAAAGATTCACATTGGTGTGCAGCCATGGTTGAGGAATACAATGCACTTCTTCGCAATAGAACTTGGGAGCTAGTCCCTCCCCCTCCATGTTGCAATATCATTGGCTGTGTGGGTCTTTCGCCTCAAGCACAAACCAGATGGTACCGTTGACCACTACAAATTTCATCTTGTTGCTAAGGGATTTCATCAAAGGGAGGGTTTTGACTTCATTGAGACATTTAGCCCCGTTGTCAAACCCTTGACTATCTAACTTCTTCTCACTCTTCCTACATCTTTCTCTTGGCCTTTGTATCAAATTGATATACAAAATGCTTTCTTGCATAGAGATCTATGTGAAGAGGTATACATGTCCCAACCACTTGGATTTGTTGATGATTCTTGGCCTTCTCACATTTGTCGCCTAAGAAAGTCCTACTATGGGCTCAAACAGACCCCTTATGCCTAGTTCTCCAGGCTCAACTCCTTCCTTCCGGATTACGGGTTCACAACTAGCAAAGTCGACTCCTCTCTATTCATTTTATGCAGTGATGCTCATTGCCTCTACATCCTTGTATATGTCGATGATATCACTCCCACAGGATCCCAACATTCTAGTATTATTGATCCCATATCAGCTATGGAATCTCACTTTGCAGTCAAAGATCTTGGCCCTCTCTCTTTTTATGTATCGAAGCCATTCAAACGCCTAATGGTCTATTTCTAAATCAACGTCGCTATGCCCAAGATCTCCTTGAGCGCACTGGTCTTGTTGGAATGAAACACATTCATACTCCTGTGGCCCCTAGTACTACTCTCTCCAAATTCAATGGCGACCCATTCCCAGGTGTTCAACTTTATCACAATAAAATTGGTGCATTACAGTACCTTCTTCTCACTCGGCTTGACCTTGCTTTTGTTGTAAATAAAGCTTGCCAATATTTGCAATCCCCTACTCTCGCTCACTGGTCCTTTGCCAGTATTACACCCTCTTCAATCACCTCCATGCACATCTTCTCCTACTTTGATTGGGTCGGATGTCCTAACAATCGTCACTCGCAAGGTGGTTATTGTATCTATCTTGGCAATAATCTACTCTCATGGTTGTCTTGCAAACATGCAACTGTCTCATGCTCTAGAATTGAAGCAAAGTATGGTAGTCTTATGCTCGCAACTGCTGAAGCTCTTTGGATTCTTTCTCTCCTCCGCGAGCTTGGATTCTCTCTTTCACGCTTTCCTACACTGTGGTGCGACAACAAGGGTGTTTGGTTCCATTTACGTTTATACAATAAACATTTTGTACTTATGTGACTGCAAAACCAAGAAACACATTTAATGAGGGCGTTTATGACACAAGATCCATTAGGCACTAATGAGGGCGTTTGTTGATGGGGCGCTTATGTGGCATAATCAATAAACGTTTACTCAATAAATGTAAACGGAACCAAACATATACAACATTGGTGCCACTTACCTCAGTGCCAATCCTGTCTTTCATGCCCGGACCAAGGGTACACTCCGTGTTCAATACATCTCCACTCATGACCAAGTGGCTGACATCTTCACCAAGCTATTGAGTAGACCTCGATTCCAACAACTACGAAGCAAGCTGTGCATTGCATCACCCCATGCATCGCTTGAAGGAGGGTGTTTAACCACACTAGAATCACACAACCAACCTACGTGATTCTTGTGATAAGCCCATGTACGTATTTATATTGTGTATCCTTAGGGATAATAGCATATAAGGGCAACTTTTGGGCCCTAATATCAATAAAAGTAATATTTTTAAGAATTTCAAAAATAGGGTAACTTTTGAAAAATAATATCAATAAAGGGGAGAATCACTGCTCATCTTCTTCCTCTTGCAGTCTATTCACCAGTGTCGTCGCTTGCCACCGCCTGCTACTGCTCGCCGCTGCGTTCGGCAACACCTCCGCCTCCGCTTTTGGCAACGTTACCGGAGGTGGGCGGAGGCAGAGGTGGCTATGGCGGTGGTGGCGACGGTGGTGGCAGCGACGGTACTGGTGGTTATTTCTCTGCCCAACGCCGCCACCTCCACCTCTGTCTCCACCCACCTCTGGCAACATTATTGGAGGCGAAGGTGGGTGGAGACAAGCGGAAGCGTTGCCGGAGGTGGTGGCGGGCGGTGGCGAGCGGCGGCACTGGTGAATAGATTGCAAGAGGAAGAAGATGAACAGTGATTCTGCCCTTTATTAATATTATTTTTCAAAAGTTATCATATTTTTGAAATTTTTTAAAAAATATTACTTTTACTGATATTAGGGCCCAAAAGTTGCCCTTATATGCTATTATCCCATAAATCCCTTATCCTTATCTCCTTTGTTATTTGTCAACGGCAGATATACATTCCCAGTATTTGTATTTATCCCAAACTCTTGTATGTATACATATATATACACCAGATTACACATCAATAAAAATCATTGTATTCTCTTCAATCTGAGTGTATTGGTTCACTTATCAAAAAAGAAAAAAGAATCTATTTTAATTATATAAATAGATTAGCAAACTCAGTTGCTCATAATCTGGCCGGAAAAGGTCTGGTGTATGAAGGTTCTTTTGTTCAGGCTTGCCCGAATTGGATCCAGTAGCTTGCCCTGAAGGACTTGTGTAATGCCGTTTCCTATTAAAGTTCTTTTACCAAAAAAAAAAAAAAAAATTGTTCGCAATTCATTTCGTTTGTATTGTGGTCCCATGGACCAGGTAACATCAGTATAGGGTCAAATAAACAACCCTCACAAAATTAACTCTAGACTCTAGAGAGATGTAAAGCTTCCATTTTTGCTTTGGACTTTTGGTGTTTGCTTTGAAATGCTTGGTGGTCGGTGCGTCTTTTCTGTTGGGAGGGGACATTCATTTCAAAATCCATCTACTGGTTGGGCCAAAATCATTCAAAATCCAGTCCACAGTGAAATTTGAACTTTGAATATCTCAATTTGAATTCCCACAGCGCTCCAAATACAACCTAGACGCTGGATTTATTAGGCTTGGGAGCCTTGGAACCTGACCTAGCTGGGCCAACCTAAGACCCAGTTGTAAATCGGAAGTAGTTGTCAATTAAGTTTGAGTCTTATTCTCTTATACAATGCGCGTTCATTTGTAGTCCCTTTTCCTTAGAGAGGGGACCCCTTATCAGATCGATGGACAGTCTGGATCCATAACAAGATCCCTCCACCTGGCACTAATAGAGCTAATCGAATGGATAAGCTCCCTATTTGACCTGACTAGTGGACCTTCTTTTTCATTTATTAGTAGTATTAACAAAATATCAACAATTATTTATAATGCATGCTTACAAAAATTAATAAACATTTGTGTTCATTTCCTCAAATTGGGGAATGCCACAGTTGCCACTCCATCAAGAATGAAAATGGTATTCCGATTTCTGATTCCACCACCCAAATGGTTGAAATTGGAATGCGCCATTCTGATCCTGATTTCTACAAACCAAATGTACCCCCAAGTCTTTTCCCTTATGTCCCAATTCTTCAAGCTTAGATTTTCTCTTTTTTTTTTTCAAATTTCTGAAATGTTTGTCATATTATTGCCCTCTTACAGCTCAAGCTCTCTTTTCTTTCCCCATTTATGTCCAAACAAACTCAGCGTTAATCATTTGAAGAATTGCTAATTACATTACATTGACGAAGATGTTAAAGAGTAGCTAGATATGTACCTAGGCCCCAGGGCTGTCAATGGATCGAATAGACCCGACCCGATAAAACCAAATAGATCTTACATTAATGTCCCAAGGATTCTGGTTTTCGGTATCATATCCTTATTATATATAATAGGGTCGGGAATGATTCTATCATGATAAATTGAATAGCACCCAAACCAATCAATACCATGTTTCTCAGGGGAAAATTTGACTGTCCATGGTCGACAGTCTTATGGTTTTCCCTCCATGTAACATTATCATATTATCGTGTCCAAATTTACAGGTTTATAATTAACTGTTAGTTATAATTGGATGTAATTAGATTAGATCCATTAACATTCCCAATTAATAATTGGTCCAGTTCTATCTGAACCTGTTGTTGGTGTCTGGTTTAACTGGTTTTGCATATTGATTCATCAGATTTTATATCGGTCTACCCGGACCCGGTCAAACCAGCTGAACCATTGACACTTGAACTGTGGTCCTGAGGATCTTTGTTCATGCATGGCCACCAGCAGGAGCCAGAGTAGTCAAGCCCACCACCACCCCATAAAGAAGTGTTGATGTTGTGGGGACTCTTGCAGCACATGGGAGCTGGAAACGAATGTGCCATGAATTGATACGTAGCCAGCTGCTGATTTATTTATGTGAAACCTGGACGTACTAGTACTACACTCGAGAGAGGAGGATATATATTTAATACCACATATTTCCCCATGATGTCTACTACTACTAGGCCAACCCAACTTTTGGCTGTATGTATATCCTGTTTGCTCTAAATCTTTACGGAGAGAGTTGCGTGCGTTTACTGAGCTCCCAGCCTGGCTATACAAATTAAGTCGAAGAGCAACGGGAGACAACTTTGTACTTGTTTTAGCATTTTCTTTTTCTGGGCATCACATCTGTTTTCTTATCTATCGAATATTACACTTACCTTAACCTCAAGCAGAATGAAGGACTTAAGAAGCATGGGGACGAGGACGACCCACTGGAAACATGATCCCAGCATATGTTTTGAAGGTTCACTTGGTTATAAGAGTTGTTTTTAAAAACTTTATCTAAAGCCAAGAACACTTTTATGCTGGGATTTTGATTAATTAATTAAGAAGGAAACTTAATTATCCAAACACAACCTACTGTGCATGCAACAATGACTATATATGTGATTTTGATTAATTAATTAAGAAGGAAACATAATTATAAAGGTAATCATCAAATCACAAATATGTTTCCATCTTCAATTCCTTTTATTTTTGCCAAAGCTACATAGACACTTAATGAGATCTCACACTGCTGGTATCAATCAACTTAATTTCTATCTATAACATTTTGGTAATACATATATTATTACCAGAGAACATGCTAAACTCAACACTACGGCCTCTTGCTTGCTTTGCAGCAAAAACATTTTTAGGTATCCCCGTTGTTGTACTCTATCGCCTGAACCTGAGCCTTAGAGACCTTTTGCTTCAAAGAAGAAGTTAACGTTTCCTCCAGGATGATCAGAGGAGGATGGCCAGGAAATGGTCTATATCTAAGTATATTACTGGAAGAAGCTTAGTAATACACATTATGCATGCCTGCTATAAGCGATGCGCTCACTCGATCGGCTCAAACGCGTCGTGGGTTGCGAATGCTCAACAGCTTTACATCGTCGACCACAGGTCCGCAGAGGGAGGCCATGTCGTCGCTTCTCATGGTGTAGAATGTGCTCAGGAACATGATGCGGGTGCGAGGGGAAGCGGCTGTAAACTTGAGCACAGCACGCTTGAAGCCACCAGTTCCCTTGGACTCATATGGGACCTTCACTGTGTCCCGACCAGCGAATGCCTCCACCACCATGGACCCTTCACATCTGTTGTTAGCATCACCTACGGCGAACATGAGTGCGTAAGCTTTGCCCGGGACGGTCCGAGCTACCTGCGCAATGGCACTCTCCTTCCCGGCAACAAGCTCCACAGCTCGTTTTCCCTCTGGCACGGAGAAATGCTCGGCATCGATGTACTTCACGGCCTTGAGGGACTCGATCATCCAACCAGGCAAAGGAGAGTGATCATCCTCAATGTTAGGTGGGACGAGGACCCCCCAGGATGTGTTTGGGAACACGTAAGGGCCTTCTTCGAAATTTCCATTCTTCAAAAGGTTCTCTGCATCATTACAGAACAAATTAAACAATAAAAAACTATAGCCAAACGTCCCAAACCCAATTATTCCGAGCTTAATTGGCAACCAGAATGGCAAAACAATCCTACAAAGATGATGGTGGGGATTGGGGAAAAGAACCATCAAGGTCAATGGTCCCAAAATACTACACAAGTCATATGTCCATGGCCCACTAGCCCATCAATCAATTAATCAAGTATGTGAAGTATCATACTATCATCCTAATCACTAACTATAACTACTTGAGGTCGGCCGCATTAAAATCTTATTATTTTACTGTTTCATGGTTGATAAGTTGATGAGATAGAACTTACTGCCGGTTGGCCGAGGAGGATAAAGAGCCTTGAGAGCGATGGAATCAATGAGTGGGCCACAGGCGGGATCCTCCTCCACGCCTGGGTTGTGGATGACTATCTCCACCTCTGGATAATCAGCTTGGAAGGCCCAGGCATAGGAGTCCCAGCCATTGCTGCTGTACATAGTTTGCATGGGAAGGATGCCGGAGTCCGGCGCCACGGACACATTCAGGCGCTCCTCTTGCGCACAGGTGCGAGCTGCGCTGAAGGTTATTGAATAGTACATTCCCTTGATCACCTTCACTTTCTGCTTGATTGAAGCCTCGTTCCCCAGCCTTACTGCATAAGCTCCCTCAGGTACTACTAGCAACATATCACCCTGCTTCTGCCCCGACTTGATGTACTCCACATAACCGGTAAGTTCCCATTCCGGTATTGCGTGGGCGTCCGTCACCAGCGTCCCTTTCATCTGCGACGGCTTCGGCCCGTATTCGAAGTTGCCATTTGGCAATAATCCTGCATTAATGGGGATAAACAAATTAGAAGGAGAAAGGAAATACAGGGATTAAAAGTTGAAAATTAAAATAATTAATTAATTAATTAGATTCAGTTTTATAAACTTTAAAAGTTCAGGAATAGAGGAATAAATTTAGCAACAGACCTGCCAATTTGGACAGTTTTGGTAAAATGGCAAATATGGATATTAGCATTTCAGTTTTTTCTTGCCATCCACGTGGGCATTATCGTCAATTGGTTAGCTAAGTCCGCATGAGCTCTAACAGAACCTAGTTCCTTTATTTATAACTTAATTGAGTAAATCTGGAATCTGGGCGCGTCCAGTTTAGAGGACCAATCCAGCTTGGGTGGTCACATGGTCTCTGCAGGAGTGCCACATGCTGTCATGTTCTTCAATCATTACCTTTTAAATATCAGTCCGCTTATCAGATGAACGGGAGCGCAGAGATCTAAAGCTATCAGCATCATAACCGTCCAATTCAAGTTTGGACGGTTGTGATTTCTAACTGGGTTGCTATAATTGGGGATGGATGAAATTCTCCCGTGGAACAAGATTCACACTTTCTTTAAGCTGTTAAATGCTGCCCAACTACCGAGAACATGAAAATAAATGAAAAATAAAGGAAGATCAAACATTATTAACTGTGAAAATGACATGTTCACCCCAGTTCCATTCAAATCTCAGTGGGTAAATGGATGGCTACAGACACTAGTACAGTGACAAAACAGTAATAAAGACCTGACTAATGACCGAGCCGGAACATTTTGCAGAAGTTTAGGGTCATAGGGTCATAAAGGGCTGTAATAAACACTACCCTCACACAGAACCATGATCTACTATTGGGGACAGAAACCGTGCATAACCGCTGGATTGAAATCTATTTTCACTGAGGAAGAACTAATGGAAAGTAAAGATTCTACAGCAGTGATGACTTATCAATCCCGAAGTGACACAAGTCTCCAATCTACAGGTTATTTTCACTTTTTTTAACCCGCAGTCAGCCAAGATTATGAAGTGTGAACCTAGTTCTATTTCGACTGTTCATCAAGTTGAAGAGCAGATCAGCAAACTCCACAACAGGGATACATTCATCATTTTAGCCAGATCTTCTGACACTAAGCCGGAGTGAAAGAAACCTGAATCTAAACACTCCGCTGATCGGAAAAACAGAGGAGTTAAACACAGGATAAGGGTCAAGGATGCGCATCAACCAAAGATCAAACGAAAACGCAAGGAAAGAACGGTAAACTACCAAAAAGTGTCACTCTAACTGAAACTCGTATCGTGACGGAGAGCTGTCAGAGCTTACCGTCGATGAGAGCTAAGGAAACGTGGCAGGTGGCGCAGAGCAGCACCGACAACACCGTAGCCGCGAACTTCGACATCGTTGCTTGTAAGGGAGATGGAGAGGGCCAGAGAGGTGGGAGTGTGGGATGCTTCGAAGCGGAGGGGGGGTTCATAGGCTTTTATGCATGCCACCCACCAAAACTGCCCCTTGGATTGTATAAAATAACGTCAAGGCCCCTCTCTTCCTGCGCATCCGCAGGCCGCAGCAAAGTATCACGTCACGATTATAATTATTCCAAAGAGAAGAATTCATCGGAACACGTAAAATTCACTAAATAACAAAAGATTTAATTTAAAAAATCGAATATTCATATGGGTTCATTTTTTGGATAATAACGAATTTACCCTTATTTTATGTCCAGCTTTAAGGCCAACGACGGACATCTTCTGGTGTAGGTTAAAGACAAAATCTGCCGGGATCACATGGGTTTCGGTTTCAAAGAATGCCTTGGTTTCGCAGTTGCTGCAGCCCATTTCTGTCATTTTGCACCAACAAAGAAGCCAAAATCTTAACTGTTGCACTATTATATTGGAGTAGACATGGACTGTTTAATTAAAAATAGGTGAACTCGGAAGTGTGGGACCGCCCTATTGACTCGGGTTTCGGGCCTTTTTGGCCCTGAGAGCGGATCGTTTTACCAAACCAGAAATAGAAATAGAAATGGAATTGACCGGAGCCCAAGATCATGAGCCGTCCAGTGCAGAAACGGGGATTTTCCTACAACTGTGAAACCAGAGTTTAATTCGGCCATTAGTCGGGAAATGGGATCATGTAAGAAGATGTTTTTGACTGATGTTGATTCTTTAATGAGATTAACCTTATAGATGCCGATTCATCCAAAAACAATCAGAATCAGCCTGAAAAGATGAATACTATTGATTTCTCTAAAAAATAGACCAACTAAATACTAAAATAATCAGCTATTAGTGATTTTTGAATTGCAGTTATAGCTCTTATTTAGTGCCAATTTTTGACAAGTTAGCATCAGTCCCGAACACCACCTTAATTAATATATAGGAGGAGTGGTTCTCCACTTGGGACTTGGGAGAGTGGATAGAAAAATGGAAACTAAATTCGAAAATGACTAAAAGTGGTCCTTTTATTTTCATGGGGTTTGCATCACACGTGGTGCTGATAAAGCTAATGTTTTTATACTTTGATTTGGTTCCGTTTTAGGATGCGAAGAACCAAGTTTATTGTTAAAATGACCAATTTGGTTTTGATGGATAGACCAAGTAGGTGTTTTATTAGCTCACCTTCGCATCCTGAAATAGGTTCACGTGATTCACATTACCATCTCAATATGTAGATAACTTCGGTCCAATAAATTTTTGCCACATGGCAAACTCGAGATCTAAAAAGTCAAAAAAAATCAGGTTTTATTATTTATCTATAATACACGTGGCTAATCCAAAACCCCCCGAATCAAAATTGCCCGCCCCCTCCCAAGCCCTTTTCGCAAATATAGGTTTCAGAAATTTACATTGCACATGATTGCAATTGTGTGTGTGTCTCTCTCTCTCTCTCTCTTTTTCTTAACGAAACCCCTTAAAAAGAATTATCTCCTCACTTCGCTAGTTCACTGTCCATTGAAGATGATTCTATGATGATCAGAAGCAACATAAGCCTGAATCAATTCACAGAATTGATCCGAAAAACCTCTCAATTCGAGAATATATTTAAAAGAAAATCCCATTCTCACTTCATTAATCTTTCTGAAGCTATCTACTTTATTTTGTCATTTGATATAAAGTTGGTGAACAAGAAAAGCAACAAAACAAGTTAAAATAAGGATTAGTAGACACCCCATGTGCAATTTAGGCTCTTCCGATTTTGTGTGAGTTCCAAATTACAGATTAACCTTCCAAAAGAATCGAATGTATTTCTAATTTTTTCCCCACCTCCCATTTGGCCAGCAATAACAACTGTACTATCTTATAATAACAATTATGTGCCACCCATGTGGTCTATGATAGAGAGAAGGGGAGACGAAGGTCAGTATCTGAATAGAACCTTGCTAGGATAAGGATTAGCTAGTGAGGCCAGTTTGAATCAGTGGTCAAGATCTTCCAATTCAAAGCTCAGATTTGCAAGATCTGAGTAGACAGGGACGATAGAGTCATAGAGACATGAATGATATATATTAAGTACAGGCCTTAAGTAATCTACACCCCCCTCCCCCAAAGAAAAAACAAAGTACACATCATAAGTCTGTAAATCTACTGTAGTGAAAGAATAGGAACTCTTGGCCAGAATAACAAAGGTTGAATTCTTAGGCAGAAGCAGAACCTAGTAACCATGTTAGAACGATCTCGGAAGGAGGGAAATGGGCCTGGCCCATAATGTATCGGTTTTTTGTTTGGTAGGGGGCCAAAGGGGAACATGGCACGAGGTTTTTGGGATCGGTCAGGAGGGTGGGACCCACAAGTATACCGAGAATCAGGATCTAATCCTCCTGGCTTGGTCAGTGGCACGGTGTGGGCTTATCCGGCGGGAGCATGTGGGCCTCTGGGCTTGAGGGCTAAAAATATGAGGGCCCTCCACAATATCCGCACCCATCACTCTTTCTGGGATGCATGTGGACGACCGACTCAACCCACAAACCCAAGGGCTTTTCTAACCTTTGGAGCTTTCCCCGATTCAGAACAAAGATCTACCCCTCCCATTGGATTTTACCATTTTAGCCATCCCAACAAATCAGTGATCACAAGGCCTTAGCCGCACCAACTAAAAAAAAAAAAGGCCTTAGCCACACCAACTAAAAAAAAAAAGGCGTTAGCCGCAAGGCTGCTTGATTAATGCTATAAAGCGCATAATAAGCAATAGGGGATTTTTCTATTGTTTCACACATTTTTTTAAGTATTTATACAATAAGCTTTTATCCAAATTTTCCTCTGAAATTATCTCTAATTGAATTTTAAAATACCACTTATAAAAGTATCCCTAGTTGAATTTTATAAAAGTATTTTCTTAAAAGTTTTTTATAAAATATTTTCATAAAAATGCTTTTATTAAAGTATTTTTATGAAAGTACTTTTAAGAAAGTATTTTTATAAAAGTACTTCAATGAAAGCACTAGTAAAAAAGTACATTTGTGAAAACATTTTCCTAAAAACACTTTCATAAAAGTAATTTAATAACAATACTTTGAGAAGGATATATTTTTGAAAAATTGAAAGAAAATGAAGGATAAAATAGTCACAAATGCTTATTTAAGTGCTTATTAGAGAAAAAGATTTACCAAACACCCAACCTAATATAAAATAGGTGCTTATTTTTTAAAATAAGCATTTGAAAAAGTTGGATGCCAAATGCAAATAAGTGTTTATTCGAATAAACACTTAATTTTAACTTAAGCACCCCCAAACATAGCGTAAGTGCAGGCATTGTTACATCAGTGCTATGTAGGCATTTTGAGTTTAATGGTCAATTTGTTGTTTGGTTGGAGACTGTTTTGAGTAAAAACAGTCATAAAACGATTGTCGTGAAAGTCTATGTAGGCAGTGTTTTAAGAAATATGGCAAAGTCTAAATACTCTGATTGAAGTGATTCCGATATGTGGATTATGTTTGGACCATGCCTTAGCTGGTCGAAGGTACCACGTGGATGCCTCTATGGCCGATGTGTTCGGACCATGTTAGTGTGCTGCCTACCAAAGAACGTGGATAATCACTTAAGTTAAGACCTCGGAGATAAGCGCAACCCCTCATGGATAAGGATAAGTGTTGCCTCCCAAGGATAAGCGCCCCCGCCAGGGAAGGCAAAGCCTTTAGAAGACCCTAGTGGGCAGCCTCATCCCTACAACCCCGCAAGGAGAATGTCCAAGTACAACATGAACACTTGGCTATTTAAAGTTATCTCCCTTAAGGTTCACCATCTTTACCCCTCTCACTCTCTTGCTCTTATTGCTCTCTTACTCCCTCCTTGACTTGGAGCAGTTTTTCCTTAATAGCTCAGCCTGACGGCTTCGCTCTCTATTACTAATTTGAGCATTAGAGTGCCTTCCTTGGGTACGTCTTCCTCGGGCCTCTGACTTTCTTCTGTTTGCAGATCTGATTCATTCAATGCACCACCTTGTCCTTACACTTCGGCTTCGTTCAAATTGATGAGATTATCTGCTGCATATCTGATTCGACTATACCTCGTATCAGACAGCATCCAATTACATGGATGAAAAACACATAGTTTTCGTAAAAAATTGAAATACAAAAAGTAGTGTTTCACCAAATACCAAAAAAAAACAGTAGTGTTTCAGTGTGAAACATTGATAGTTAAAACACCAACATAAATGGTTGGATTCATTTAATGCTGATTCCGAATCCAGCAATCCTTTAAATGTGGAGAAATGGCAAAATGGATTAAACTGCTTTGCGCAGTTCGGTGGGCGATATAGGTAACCTTTGTGCTTGAGCTCCATAAAAAAGTTGCATGGGAAATTGGGTGCCCTGTGCTCATTCCCTTGTTTGCTTCTTCAATTTAATGACACACCGTTTATATAACTGATTTCATAGTAACAGAGTGGGGGAATGATTTTGCCACGTCAATTTTGATAATTGGGCACATCCCCCAATCAGAAAACAAAAGATATTAGATTCCCCTATGGTCAAAACTAAAAGACGCTCCTTTTGTCTAATCCTTGGGGTTCTCAATATCGATTCTTGAAGTGTCAAAATCAAAATAAAAAATTTCTAGGGATGGAGACTCCCTCGGATTGTTATTAGAACATACTATTTGATAATGGAAAGCAATTAAATACTACTAAGTTAATGCTATTATGCTTTTGATTGCAAGCAAAGCCATCAGAAGCAGTGCTATAATATTAGTAGCTGTTGACAATACATGAATAACTGAATGATAATGAATTCGATGGAATCGAGTTGCTGCACATCGAGGGATTTTTGGTCGAAAAGACTGGGGAAAAGGACGGTACACCACGTGCTCTTTGATGAACAAAAGTTCCGGCTGTTTGGTTGTCCAGCTCAGATGTAAGAACTGGTCCCAGAAAGCAGAAATGGGCTGAAAGTTGTTTTTTTCTAATAATTCTTTTTTTTTTCTGATATGATGATTATGGGCTGAAAGTTGAAGTTCACTAGAGGAGAAG